TGGGCAAGGACAGGAGGCCCTGCAAAATGGCAGGTGCCACCTCCTGCAGCCTCCCCCACCCCTGAGCTGTGGGGACGCCAGGAGATGTGAATAGGGGAGTTCACTGTTTTGTTGCAAGTGTTATTATCGGCTCTCTGTGCTCAGGAAAGCAACACAGGCGCTATTTTACACTCAGCCTGTGCTCTGTAGGCTTTCCCTCAACAGTGAGGGCAAGAGAAGTAGTTTTTCGAGTGTGTTCCTCTAAGAGGTGAAGCAGGGAAGCCCACGTCTGTGGGGAAGAGGCAGCTTCTGTCATAAGCTCTGTGGCCATAGATTGTGGAGGAATAATTAGTAGTATGCCATATTATGCAATATCATGCAGTCTTCTGTGCTACCACAGAAAGCTCTGAGGAGCTGTTTTTCATCTCTGTGATTTGTGTTTATGGCTCTGCTGTAGTTTCTACATGTTGCTTCGTTCACTGTTGGCGTTTTGAAAGCGATGTTTAAATCGAACAGTAATACATTGTGTGCTATCCTCCTTTAATCCCATCTGAAATTAATTTGTCAATGCAAAGATAACCCAGGAATCAAGTGAATTTAAGCAGAAAAACAGGAGAAATATGGAACAAGCATTAAAAACGGGTGGCAACATTTTGAGGGGCTGTATGACCTGTTCCCATCTTGGCCACTTGTAATGATCAAGCGTTATGTTCATCCTGGCTTTTAACACCCTTTCTCCTCGCTTCGTTCCTTGTTTTTAGGGTTGGTCGACGGCCCGTACTGCTCTTCTCTGTCATATTCATTTTGATATTTGGACTGACTGTGGCACTCTCCGTGAATGTGACGATGTTCAGCACACTCAGGTTTTTTGAGGGGTTTTGCCTGGCTGGAATAGTCCTCTCCCTGTACGCACTGCGTGAGTATGCTCTTTGTTACCCGTTCAAATGTGTTGTTACCGAGTATGCAGCTTGCTTTTCTATAGCTCCCCATTTTCATCTGAAAAAACAAAAGCGGAGTCATATATAGCCTGAATTTTGGTAAGGAAGTACGGATTTTCCAGCTATCTCTTAGGCTGCTAGAGGACAGGCTGTGAAGCAGTTTGAGGGCTCATTAATAAAGAGTTATAAAGTGTTTAGGGGATTGTTTGTTGTTATTTAAACCTAGAAGTTATTTGAGTCCTGGCTTCTTCCACGCGATAATGGGTGTGGATTTCATCTTGCAGCATTGAGCTCAGTAGGAGACTCTTCACTTGCTTTGTCTGTAGTAGTATGTATGTATGTATGTAGTGGTATGTAGCACTTTTTCAGAAATGTGCTTGTTACTTTGCAGCCAAGAGAGCCCTTGCCTCTGCCACAGGATCATAAAGTACAGCAAAAACATGTGAGAAGAGGGGCCTGAAGTGCTTTTATCAGGACGCTATTTTTTTTTCCCTTCACAGGGTGGGGGACAGCTGAGAAAAGCTTGAGGGAAACCTTATAAGCAAGGTCTATGTGCATATAGTACCTGGGGGAGATGACTGGTAAACTGGTAGCCAAAACATTCAAAACCCCTCTCTTCCGGAGGCCCTGCCTTCAGAGAGTGCATACGCAATGCCACCAGCCTACTCTGTGTTAGCTGGATGTACTTAAGAGAGCCCTGTCTGCTTGTGCTTCCTTTACTGTTTGTAATTAACAGGTAGTATTGCACCAGCTGAGGAGAACATAACATTTCCGCCTTTTTAGTTATGGCTCTGGAAAAGCATTATCTAAATATATCCTTGAACTTGCTGTACAAGTCTTCATAAAATTGTATTTGCTTCCTATTGTAGATGGTACCTAGCCCATGAAGATTTAGCACAATATCCTTATTCTGCATGCAGTGCTACATAGTATGAAATTCCACGGTATTTGTTTTTTGTTTTTGTTTCTCTTTAAACTACACTGAAGGGAAGGCAGCGTGACTAGAATATGCAAGAGCTTGTTCTGTCTTGCATTTCTTCATAATAGATGGTATGGTACCCCAGATAGATTTTTTTTTTTTTCTTTTGCCTTTGGTCATATAATCTCTAGTGAGAATTTTTCATCAGAAAATAACACTGCTGTTGAAGATGTTACATCCTTATTGTGAAATGTTTTAAAATGCCCGCAGTTCAGATTCACTGTGATATTTCATGGTGTAAAATGGCAGACAAAACATCCTAATCCCTTTTACTTACTGATTTTAGAGATCTTATTAGAACAGAAGAAAACGAAAAAGACTGAATTATTCTTGAAGCAGTATTAACATCCAATCTACTTTTGCTGTCCTACTGCACAGTCAGCTCTGAATGTTGATCATGATCCTGGCTGTGAAGGAAGATTTTTTTCCTTTGCTAGGGCAGAAATTTTATCCTCCATCACCAGTTAGAATACCACAGATGGATTTGTGAAGTCAGCCATGTATAGTCAATAGGTCTTAATCAGAAGCTCTTTTGAGCACTCTTGTTTTGGATAAACTTGCATTCAGGTACAGCAATGTGTTTAGGAGAGCCTAGAATTCATATCTACCCATTTTTCTTTTTCCCCCTTCTGGTTCTAGTAGGAGGGATCTTTAGCTATTATCAATCTGATATTCAGTTGGAACTTGGACTAGTTGGGATTTTCTATGGCCGAATGAATCATGTAAGCTCCTTGTTGTTGCTGTTTTTTAATAGAGTCATTGCAACTGAGCACTTTGGTGGGAAAATGCCATCTAAGCAAAAGTTTCATTGTGGACCTTTTGTTTGAGATCAGAGTGCATGCGTCACCTTAGAGCACACAATAGTTTGCCACCCAAGACTTTCATTTAGCAAGTGGGAGACCCTGTTTAATCTACACTCTGCTTGATTCACAGCACGGATTTGAATCTGATCCCCCCCATAATCCAGGTGTTTGCCATAACTGCTGTTGTGTGTATGTCCACCTCAAATGGGCATCTGTCTCTGTCCATGCAAATATAGTGCTAGCAAGTATTAGCAGAGATCCATCTTAAAAATAGCAGTTGCCTGAACATCAGTGCACTTCTGTGGAAGTGATAAAATGCAAAAGATGCAGCACCTGTACCCTCGGTGAGTATGGTAACCTAGCTAGGGAGGTGAGGGGAGTGGGTGTTTCTGTATTAAATATTTTCATTTCAACACCACCAACAACAAAACCTGTCGTCTTCGCACAGAGTAGAGGAAGGGGATTAACTCTGAGACTCTTAAGGGAGTGGGAGGAACAGATTTTTTTTTTTTTAATAATTAGTATTCATAATCTGTTGGGCTCCCTGTCAACTTAAAATTACTTTTTGCCCTTTCTGCTGGAGTCCATGGCGTGCCTACTGCAGTCCTTTGTGGAGTTGTCTTTGATTTCATAGCCCCTGTGCCCCTTCTCGTAATGGTCTTGATTTCTCCCACTAGAGTTCTGTTGCCCTAGAATTCCCAGCTGGATGCCTTGAGCAGATCAATAGAAAATGGAAAGTTTGATATGCTAGAAACTGTCATTAGCGAAGTTTTCAAATATACTGTGTAGAAGCAAGCTCTGTAGGCTTGTGTAGCCTGCAAAGGTAATTAGCCTGCCACAGGGTCCCTTTTACACTGTGCTGTATTTGCTAGTTATGCTTGGATTTATTGCCTGCCCAAGAGAAACAGTGAATAACCATCCTGGATGCTTTGGGAATGGAAATAGCACCCAAGTGTTGTCTTTAATATACAGAATTGCTAACTCTGAGTTGCTCTCACCATTTGAACTGCACTTTTCTTAGTGGCCAAAAACTCTTACCTGGTCATCCTAACCTGCAGGACGAGCATTGGAGCAAGGCTTACCTTCTGTGGAGGGACAGCTCTGAGATGGAGCTACCTGTCCTCTTCTGCTGACCGCCTTGATTAGTTGTAACGAGCTAGCTTCTGTAGCCTTTAAATACAGTATATTGCCTGGAGCTGCTCTGGACTTGCCTAAAGAAACCGCTTTTGATGTTGATTTGTTAAACGAGGAAGTTTTTCTGCAGCTGTTTCAGTTTTGAGAAAAACTTGTGTTGGGAAAGGCTTTTCAGGTGACATTTCTAGCAACCTTACAGGAAGAGACAGGTTTTGCACAGATGATTGCACTTGCTAGGAATGGGGGAAGCAGAGGAAAAATGAATCTAGGCCTTTCTCATCCCCAGTGGTTCAGGTGATTGCATCATCTAGAAGAATAGAAGGGAGTTAATCCTTACCACTCAACAAACAAGCATAACTTTGAAAGGCTTTTGTTTCATGCTGATATGGAGAAGGGGGGTTTCTACCATCTTCCAGCAGTGGTTTCCTGCTTGGTGCTAACCTTGAGTAGATTACTGTGTTCCTATGCAGCAAGCATATGTCTTATGAACAGCACTAACAGCGTCATCAGGAAGCTCTCACCAGGAGGGGGAAGTGACTCCTGATATGCCACGCTCAGCAGTCATTTGATACACAGAGCTGGAGCTGTTGGCTGCGATATGCTGTTTACGTCCCCTGCTATGTTTTCCAAACACGTTTCTGCAGAAATGGGTCTGCCCTTGCTGGAGGAGGGTGCTGGGAACACTGCTAACTCACTTGAAGGGAGATGGTGGAGGGGTACTAAGGATTAGTCTGACTGCAAAAGTTGGAGGCAGATGTACTGCCTGCCCAGAAGTTAAAAGCCAAAAAGAGTGTAGATTGGGCGGTTGGGAGGAGGGGTTGTTAAACTTGAACAGAAAAAAGGGGGAAAGCTTTTCTTTTTTGGGGATGTCTCTTGTCAGTATTGGTCTCTGTACACGCATCTGGGGGAATGTGCTGGCATCCTAGACCTGCTGGCTCAGTGCAGTTGGATGTACAGCACGGCAGCCTGCTGCTCAGTTGAAGACTAGGAGAACTGAGATTACCCATGGGGGTGAAAAGGCCTGAGGCTGGTGCTGCAATGGGCTTGCTTCGCCCAGGCTGAGAGGGAGAGGACAGGGCGCAGGCAGCCCTGATGATGCCTGTGCGTGAGTAATGCTCCCGCTGAGTGTGTGGACTTTTCACAGCAGGCAAAGGTGTGTCTCTGCTCCGCGTGCTACTGCAAACAGCTCTGCTTGCTGGTTGCAGAGCACATGGGACAAAGTACGCTCAGCAAATGTGGAAGTCATTGGAGAAAGCCAAGCTGATTATCTTGCGGGGGGGGGGGGGAGGGTGTTACTTCCGGGTCATTTTGGCCTCACTGGGGCCTGGCTCCGGGGCAGCCTTTTCCTGTGTGTTTTCTGTAGAAAGTCAGATGCTGCGACTGACTCAGCACGGTCCCTTCCCTAGGTTTTGCTTTCACAGACTTGGGGGAGCTGATGCAACAGCTCACATGGCTGAAAGCAGGAGTTCCCCCTTCCTATAACCCTCCTTCTTCCTCTTCATGTCCTGCGCTGCTGCTGAGGCCGTGCTGGCAGCACCTTGTGTCAGATCCCTCTGCGAGGAAAACCGTACGTTTTCCCTCTTGAGTAGAGCAAGTGTCCTATTGTTAGTGGCATGTGCTCTTTGGTCTTGTCTGGCCTTCCTTTAGAAGATTTCCTGCTGTGCATCACATCCCTTGCATCGTCCGAGCCTGGGGAACAGAGCAGGAGCGTCGCCTAATACTGCAGGGGGCAAACTAAATGGATAAAGGAAAGCAAGAGTTACTTTCTGACTGGTCCCTTCCTATGCCACGTTTATCTTCCCTCTGGTATTCCCACTTCTGTCATTTTCTGGAGTACGAGCTAGGATGATGATATTAATTAAACTATTTAAGGGGGAGGAGGGGAGGAGAGTCATATTTCTCTGGCAAATGCTACCGACAAGTTTAACGAGCTTCCCGTTAAAGTGTTGTGTGCCATCACTCTAATGATTATACCTGAGTGCAGACAGCACAAGCAATGGCACAGATTTGCACACAGTTGCAGACGGTTCAGGTAATTTCATGGGTGACTGAACTACAGATT